TTATGTTATTGTCGTATTCATTGTTGTATTATTAGGGAACTTAAGAACCATGACGAAGTTCACGACGACGACGTCTGTTGACTGGGAAAAGACTGGAACGAGAACGTCGGTTTCGGCGGGCTAAAGGAAATTTAAGATGCAGTCGGTCGGTAGGTCGACGACGACGACACTGAATGTAAACACAGATGTAAAACTGTGACGTTCGTTCGCAACAAAGTTTTTCGCAATGGCGTCTTTCAAAACAACGCAAGATCTTATTTGTTCAAGCCGTACGTCTAATTTCATTGACGATGAAAAATTTTTGTGCTCTCTGACCTTTTCGAGTGGAAATACACCTACTTTCCGTACGAAATTATTCAACTTTCAACTTGAATGAGATGGCCGAGTCCGAGTGTCCGTCAGAGTTTAGATTTCGAAAAAGAGACATTCTGATATGATAGCTGTTTTCCATATAAAGTTTATTTCCTCTATATTAAAGATATATGATTTGCCTTACCTAAATACGTACAAATAAATTTATCACAATTCACTTACGAGTTCGCTCGCTCGGCCTCCTCAGCTGTTGCCATTCTTCAAAGTAAAATCAATTCATTAGTCGAATTTTCAATCAACATCGCTTGTTTGGAGAAAAAAGGAACGATACCTGGATTTAGGAGGACAAGAAAATGTAAAGGCCTTCAAAAATCGCTTAAAACAGTGGATTTATACCTGCCGAAGCTTGTGGATTGCAGGACGACGTGATTCTACTTTGTATGGCGTTGTCGACGACACCACGACGACGAAATTTACTAGTCGCGCTTGCGCAGTACAGTGTAACTCACTTCCGGTCGTCGTCGACCAAGCCGTCGTCGTGGTTCTTAAGTTCCCTATTATTATTATTATTATTATTATTTAAATCAGTCTGCAATACTCTGTTGAGAGTGAAGACTTAAATTGGTAAATAGTAAATTACTCATCACTACGTTATAATTCAAAAAGTTTAAAATGTAAACTGCAAGTCATGAATACATTGCCATAGAGCTACTCTTGTTGATAAAAGTGTCCGCAAATCTCTTTGTTTTAGTTTAATGAAGGACGAGAATCTTCTGTCTCCTTTTATTATAAGATGGCTCTTTGCAATTTTTGGGTAACAAACCGTAAATTTTATTGGATGGATTGTTAACAACTAATTGGAAAAGCTGATTGGTGCCTTACCCTGAAACTCAAACTTAACAGGAAACGATGCTTAATGCTGAAGAATCTCATTTTTTTAAAAAATTTATCGAGCGGTTTCAAAGTTATTGGCTTCTTTGTTAAAGTACACCAAAATGTTTGCAAAACCGTTAACAGGAGCGCCTCGATACATACTAATGAAATCCTTCTTTCTAGCAATCAGCTGGAGCTATCTCCATGATCTTTCAAATACGTCTTTAAAAAGATTGAAACTACTACGAGAGGTCAAATTGCTTTTCAAAAACGCCTCGTTTTCTACAGACAACGGACAAACATCAAGATTTTCCAGTTTTAGCGTATTTCTAACCATAAAAACTTCATTCCAAATATCTCAATAACGCTCTTACAGATTTCACTTACACTTCACGAACAAGCGGCTATTGGAGAAAAAGGCTCCCGTGAACGATTCTGGAAAAACAGTCCCCAGTGCCGAGAAATACGGCTGCGAGTAAATTTGGTAATGGCGTCATTTCTTTGCAATAACAACTCCGATGTCCTTATAAACACTTTGGCTCGCTCAGCCGGGTCAACTCGGTGCTCTTAGCTCGGGCAAAAAGGTCAACTTTTTTCTTATATAATAAACGCTCACTAAAGTTGCTGGTGCTAGGTGACCCTCTTTTCCGGGACAACATCGGGCAAACAGGGCCAAAGGAGAACACCTTTTTGTTATCTAAGGGTGTTTTAAATTTCCCGAAGCTTATAGGCTAGAAATAACTAGAACCAAAAGTTTATATCTTTTTTGTACCCCGGTCGTGTGAGATGTCTGACAAAAGGCAACTAAATATTTCCTCCTTTGTCTCTATAACTAGCTAAGAGAGTAATAATTGCAAATTAAGGTAGGGCAATCGACAGGGAGGGGTGATAAGGGGGTAGAGGGTTAGTGATAGGTAGATCAGACTTTTTGGGAGAGCCAGGAATGTTGAGTATGATAATGTGTTTTCATAATTACTCTCTTTATATTTTACGTCCGTTGCTGATCCACAAACTACAATCAAAACTCCACGCGGAAAAGAATATTTTTTAAAAATTAAAAATAAGCAAGTAGACTACACAAAGGTAAAAAGTAACCCTCAGTCAAAAGTGGGCCTTATACAATAGGTGAGCTCAGCAACTGCCTTTATCAGTGTTGTTGCTTAACTATATCACTTAACTAAGTAAACCACAGGTCAAATACTGACGGTCACTCCCCTGATGAAGTCATGAGAGTTGCAATAAAAAAGGCATAGTCACTCTAACCAAGAGAGGATAAAGGGGACAGAGACGGCATCCCCCGTACACACCCTATTCCATAGGTAATTCGTCTCGAGGTATTTTTAAGACCACAGATCCCAAGGGGGATTAGACAACAGCCAATGACATAGCGCGAATGTGTTCCGCGTGGATGACCCACGCTCAGAGCCACGCGTCCTTCACGAATTGACGCTGAAAAAAATGGCGGAAGACGCGGAGACCGATACTGCTATTCGTTTTGTCGACGAAAACGACTAAAGAGAGATTTTTTCTAAAGCTGTGTCAGCTGTGTCGCCCTTCCTCTCTTGTATAGAGCTAACAGTACAGAAGGGAAATCCTTAACACACTGAATATTCTCTCAGGATCATTTATAATTTACAGTTTGAAGAGAGCAATTTATGGTTTGATATTTATTCTTTTATTAGTCTTTTATTATTCAACAAAAATAACACTTGGCGTCCTACTTGCTTTATTGTACAAACGACTGGTCTCAATAGACCGGCGAAATTTCCCATTTTATTAAAGCACTGAGATTACGATAACTTCGAGTTAAATTGATTTCACGTGTTGTCATAGAGTCCAGTGATTCCCTTTTCCCAGGTGAGCGCCGACTCATTTCGCTTCAATATTCAGAAATGCTCTCGATCTCTTTACGCTTTCATTGCCTTTCGCCCGACATGTTTTGCACGGCGTTTAGTCATGCGAAACCTCCACGAAACATCCACGCAGCGCGCGGGGTAAATTTATCCCGATTCTAAAAATAACTCAAGACGACTCACGTAACAACATTCCTTGACACACGTCAAGTGCGCCAGGATTTCGCTGCAGTTTACCTTAGTTTTTGCGGTAATGAAGACAAGCAAGGACGTAAGGTACAAACAAAAATATTGCCGATCTCATATTTACTAGAAAGGATCGATCTTTGCTGTAAAGTTTAAACACTTTGCAGAGTCGTGATACGAGTACTTGACCTTCATGTTTACATTTCACAGTGTGAAGCCAGGTTACAATAAACAGCCGGGATTTGACCTTCTTTTTGACTAAACATTGAGATACAATTTTCCATCTTACTTTTTTTCAATTACGTGTGTATCATTGTGGGACTTGGGATCGCCTGAATTAAACGTATCGTGGCTGAAAGATTTGTTTTAGAATTCACCGTGTCGCGCCGATGCTCATAACTGTCAAGTCAGATAGGTCAAATTTCACTCAAGCGCTCCTGAATTTCGCTTTCCCAAAAACTCATTTCACATGTTGCCCAAAGTTTTGAACCCATATTTCGAAAGCTTAAAGATTGCTTTTTAATGTCAGATATCTATTTCTTCTTAAAACGATGTATCGGATTGAATTTTAGGCCTTCGAATTTCGACAAAATTTTGCTCGGGTGAAATCCTCAAAATTATTCAAAAATCTTAAAATCTGTAGAATATTCTGGTTGCAATCAAATGAAGCGTATTAGCACTCAAAATTTATGTTGAAATCCCTTTAATACAATCAGAAAAATGGTGAATTGAATGATCCTTGAATTAGACTAAAATCGAGTTCTTTTCGTTACCCTGTCGCGCGTCCCGAAAAAGCGGCCCGGTGGAGGCCGTGAAGCGGTCAATCTTTACACTCGCTGTATTGCAAAAATATTTAACTGATGAAAGTAAAAGTTATATTTTCATAAATAAGGTACCTAGGGTAGTCCACTGAATTTTTTTTGGATTTTTCGAAATTTTTATTTTTCCCACCCCTGGTTGATATTTACAGACATCCGCTCTTAATAAGGCTGTCAAGGTCATAAATGTCACACATATCCAGTAAACACTGACCCACTTTGTGATTATCTAGTGGGTGAAGGATGTCCGAATTTAAGTCTCCGGTACAAATCACATTATCAGAAAGCCTGTTTGCTTCATCCAGAAGATCACAGAGTTCGCGTTTGAATGTGTTGTTGTCTACAGATGGAGGCTTATATGCGGTAATATATGGAAACTGTCGTTGTCCGATTTTCATGTCAAACAACATAGATTCGACACATTTTCCTCTCAATTTCTTCCGAGAAGCGGCTATATTGTCTCTGATGTATACTACAATGCCACCGCCGCCTTTGACTCTGTCACGACGATAAAAGTTAAAACCATCGACATGAAATTGTGAGCTCGGAAAAGTTGAGTCGATTTTAGTCTCTTGTATCGTCAAAATGTCGAATGCATTAGTAGCTAGCCATAGTCGAACCTCGTCGAACTTGTTTTGCAGGCTGTTAATATTGAGGCAGGCAATAACACATTCTTTTCTGTGCTCAATTCTAATGTCTTTTATCTTGGCTAGGACTTCGTCGGTATCGACCGATTCGACTTCGCGCTCCTCGTCTTCGCAGTTGCTCTCGTTCAAAGTAAATGAGCCAGTTTCGTCAAGGAAAGAGTCCGATAGTTTAGGCAGAGAGCAGAAAGCACATGTCCATTCCAAGTCGGGGTGTTGTAGGTAGTATTTGAACCCGGTAGCGGTTGATTTGAGACATTTTGCGTGGGACCAAGTATCACAAGACGAGCACAAAATGGCGTCTTGGTTCTTTCTCACTGGCTTACTACACTCGCGGCATGGAAACTTGGGCTTACCTTTGCCTTTCGCAGGGCCAGGGTCGACGATATATCGCCGCAGACGAGTAGGTCCCGTTGTATTTGGAAGGTACTCGCGCCGTTCGTGCTGTACTGAACTCTACCAGCGAAATATCGGCTTGCTCGAGAACGACGTATGAAAGGAGCATTGACCACATGCTTTTCTAGAAAGAACGCGTCTGAAGCCTTGAATCTGCGTTCTACATGCGAATACGGACAGATAGTATCCTTATATTCAAAAGTTAGGTCAGGTAATACCCGAATAATAACGCAGAGGGCAAGAATTAAGCCAAAGTTACGAGCGCTCAACATTCCGTGTTCACCGTAATTACATTCACCAGCACATGTTTCTACGATTCAGTGGCGTTTTTTCTAAACTTAGTAAACCAACTATCTAAAGTCCCAGTCGATTTGATGTTTCGTCTGTGATTGGTGGTCACACGCGACAACAACAGACTACGAACGACAATTTACAGACAATCGACACATACCGACAGATTACTAGTACCAGTCATCGTACAACCCGACCTACTTTGACGAGACGAGCGCAATTAGTAAGCAAGTCGTCTGACAGCCTACAAGACAAGACTGACTACCTACACAACGCTTTTAGTAAAAACCCTAACCCAACGCCGACTTCGTTAGACGAAACACTCAAAGTAACGCTGATTCCAACACTTAGACCATGTTAACTCTGGCCCCGTTACGACAGCGACTATACCGTCCATCAGAGGCACCTCTTAAACTATTGCACGATAAAATAGAGGGTCTGTGAACAGGCGAACGCATACTACAACCTTACAATATACCTGTGGCACACAAACCCAAACCTCCACTTAACGACGACTACTTAACTCTAATGTCAAGGACCAAGACAATCCGGAGGAAAGACAGGGAGCAGTATACGAGATCAAATACTGCGACTACCAGGCCACTTACATCGGTGAAACCGGCAGAAACCTCATAGCACGCGACTGACCGAACACAAATGATTGAGAAGAAATGGTGACGTCAACAATCACATTGCTGAACACCATTTATAGACGAAACATCAAGTTGACTGGGACTCTGCTACATATATTACGTATTCTACAGACTACTGCCTGGGTCAACCACTGCCTTTGGATAGATAGGTAGATAGATAGATAGATAGATAGACAGACAGACAGACAGACAGACAGACAGACAGACAGACAGATAGATAGATAGATAGATAGATAGATAGATAGATAGATAGATAGATAGATAGATAGATAGATAGATAGATAGATAGATAGATAGATAGATATACTACTAAATATTTAGGGTCAACCTCTCGCATGACTTACGCTGGAATGATCATGTAAATGCAATTACCACCAAAGCAAACAAGACTTTGAACTTTCTACGCCGCAATCTTCGCACTTGTTGGGCCAAATCCAAAGACAAGCATATAAAGCCCTTGTGAGACCAACTGTTGAATACAGTGCCACTGTCTGGGACCCTTACGTAGCTAAGAACATACAACAAGTTGAAATGATTCAACGCCGAGCAGCTCGCTGGGTACTCGGGCGCTACGATAGATTAGACAGTGTCACTGATATGTTATCTTCTCTTAAATGCAGATCTCTGGAGCTCAGGCGATCTTACGCACGTCTCTGTTGTTCAAGAAGTGTAATGGATTAGCCACTTACGAATGCGACAAGCTTCAGAGAGAACATAAGAGCAGAATGGACACCAGGCTCTGGTCTCTCTGTCTTCGATTTGAACAGCCACGTTGTACATGTGATTATTATAAGACCCTTTTACCCTAGGACAATTGCACAGTGGAACAATCTCCCACCAGAAATTATAGCATCTACTTCGCCATGTTCATTTAGGCAATCCCTGTGTAATCTTACATATTGATTAGTAATTTTATGTTATTGTCGTATTCATTGTTGTATTATTAGGGAACTTAAGAACCATGACGAAGTTCACGACGACGACGTCTGTTGACTGGGAAAAGACTGGAACGAGAACGTCGGTTTCGGCGGGCTAAAGGAAATTTAAGATGCAGTCGGTCGGTAGGTCGACGACGACGACACTGAATGTAAACACAGATGTAAAACTGTGACGTTCGTTCGCAACAAAGTTTTTCGCAATGGCGTCTTTCAAAACAACGCAAGATCTTATTTGTTCAAGCCGTACGTCTAATTTCATTGACGATGAAAAATTTTTTGTGCTCTCTGACCTTTTCGAGTGGAAATACACCTACTTTCCGTACGAAATTATTCAACTTTCAACTTGAATGAGATGGCCGAGTCCGAGTGTCCGTCAGAGTTTAGATTTCGAAAAAGAGACATTCTGATATGATAGCTGTTTTCCATATAAAGTTTATTTCCTCTATATTAAAGATATATGATTTGCCTTACCTAAATACGTACAAATAAATTTATCACAATTCACTTACGAGTTCGCTCGCTCGGCCTCCTCAGCTGTTGCCATTCTTCAAAGTAAAATCAATTCATTAGTCGAATTTTCAATCAACATCGCTTGTTTGGAGAAAAAAGGAACGATACCTGGATTTAGGAGGACAAGAAAATGTAAAGGCCTTCAAAAATCGCTTAAAACAGTGGATTTATACCTGCCGAAGCTTGTGGATTGCAGGACGACGTGATTCTACTTTGTATGGCGTTGTCGACGACACCACGACGACGAAATTTACTAGTCGCGCTTGCGCAGTACAGTGTAACTCACTTCCGGTCGTCGTCGACCAAGCCGTCGTCGTGGTTCTTAAGTTCCCTATTATTATTATTATTATTATTATTTAAATCAGTCTGCAATACTCTGTTGAGAGTGAAGACTTAAATTGGTAAATAGTAAATTACTCATCACTACGTTATAATTCAAAAAGTTTAAAATGTAAACTGCAAGTCATGAATACATTGCCATAGAGCTACTCTTGTTGATAAAGTGTCCGCAAATCTCTTTGTTTTAGTTTAATGAAGGACGAGAATCTTCTGTCTCCTTTTATTATAAGATGGCTCTTTGCAATTTTTGGGTAACAAACCGTAAATTTTATTGGATGGATTGTTAACAACTAGTTGGAAAAAGCTGATTGGTGCCTTACCCTGAAACTCAAACTTAACATGAAACGATGCTTAATGCTGAAGAATCTCATTTTTTAAAAATTTATCGAGCGGTTTCAAAGTTATTGGCTTCTTTGTTAAAGTACACCAAAATGTTTGCAAAACCGTTAACAGGAGCGCCTCGATACATACTAATGAAATCCTTCTTTCTAGCAATCAGCTGGAGCTATCTCCATGATCTTTCAAATACGTCTTTAAAAAGATTGAAACTACTACGAGAGGTCAAATTGCTTTTCAAAAACGCCTCGTTTTCTACAGACAACGGACAAACATCAAGATTTTCCAGTTTTAGCGTATTTCTAACCATAAAAACTTCATTCCAAATATCTCAATAACGCTCTTACAGATTTCACTTACACTTCACGAACAAGCGGCTATTGGAGAAAAAAGGCTCCCGTGAACGATTCTGGAAAAACAGTCCCCAGTGCCGAGAAATACGGCTGCGAGTAAATTTGGTAATGGCGTCATTTCTTTGCAATAACAACTCCGATGTCCTTATAAACACTTTGGCTCGCTCAGCCGGGTCAACTCGGTGCTCTTAGCTCGGGCAAAAGGTCAACTTTTTCTTATATAATAAACGCTCACTAAAGTTGCTGGTGCTAGGTGACCCTCTTTTCCGGGACAACATCGGGCAAACAGGGCCAAAGGAGAACACCTTTTTTGTTATCTAAGGGGTTTTTTAAGTTTCCCGAAGCTTATAGGCTAGAAATAACTAGAACCAAAAGTTTATATCTTTTTTGTACCCCGGTCGTGCGAGATGTCTGACAAAAGGCAACTAAATATTTCCTCCTTTGTCTCTATAACTAGCTAAGAGAGTAATAATTGCAAATTAAGGTAGGGCAATCGACTGGGAGGGGTGATAAGGGGGTAGAGGGTTAGTGATAGGTAGATCAGACTTTTTGGGAGAGCCTGGAATGTTGAGTATGATAATGTGTTTTCATAATTACTCTCTTTATATTTTACGTCCGTTGCTGATCCACAAACTACAATCAAAACTCCACGCGCAAAAGAATTTTTTTTAAAAATTGAAAATAAGCAAGTAGACTACACAAAGGTAAAAAGTAACCCTCAGTCAAAAGTGGGCCTTATACAATAGGTGAGCTCAGCAACTGCCTTTATCAGTGTTGTTGCTTAACTATATCACTTAACTAAGTAAACCACAGGTCAAATACTGACGGTCACTCCCCTGATGAAGTCATGAGAGTTGCAATAAAAAAGGCATAGTCACTCTAACCAAGAGAGGATAAAGGGGACAGAGACGGCATCCCCCGTACACACCCTATTCCATAGGTAATTCGTCTCGAGGTATTTTTAAGACCACAGATCCCAAGGGGGATTAGACAACAGCCAATGACATAGCGCGAATGTGTTCCGCGTGGATGACCCACGCTCAGAGCCACGCGTCCTTCACGAATTGACGCTGAAAAAAATGGCGGAAGACGCGGAGACCGATACTGCTATTCGTTTTGTCGACGAAAACGACTAAAGAGAGATTTTTGCTAAAGCTGTGTCAGCTGTGTCGCCCTTCCTCTCTTGTATTGAGCTAACAGTACAGAAGGGAAATCCTTAACACACTGAATATTCTCTCAGGATCATTTATAATTTACAGTTTGAAGAGAGCAATTTATGGTTTGATATTTATTCTTTTATTAGTCTTTTATTATTCAACAAAAATAACACTTGGCGTCCTACTTGCTTTATTGTACAAACGACTGGTCTCAATAGACCGGCGAAATTTCCCATTTTATTAAAGCACTGAGATTACGATAACTTCGAGTTAAATTGATTTCACGTGTTGTCAAAGAGTCCAGTGATTCCCTTTTCCCAGGTGAGCGCCGACTCATTTCGCTTCAATATTCAGAAATGGTCTCGATCTCTTTACGCTTTCATTGCCTTTCGCCCGACATGTTTTGCACGGCGTTTAGTCATGCGAAACCTCCACGAAACATCCACGCAGCGCGCGGGGTAAATTTATCCCGATTCTAAAAATAACTCGAGACGAATTACCTATGAAATAGGGTCTGAATAGGGAATGCCTTCTCTGTCCCCTTTATCCTCTCTTGCTCTAACCTAATGTAGCTTAGTATCCATAAAAACAAATACAGTGCCGAACACATGTTTATCATAATATTTAGATATCTGATTATCTTAGAATGGATTTTGTTCTATAAAGAAACTGAAATGAAAGCGAACAACAAAAAC